CCAAAAACGTTATAGTCAACTCTTGATGAACTAAATGCATCATACCTGAGTTCTAAAGTTTCCATTCAGCAAAATCCTACCACCTTCCCCATCCCACCATTCAAGGTCAACTTGACCTAAACCCAGTACCTGGGCAGCAGACAGCACAGCCTAGTCAGAAGTGGGTCAGGAGTAGTCACAGAGTATTGTGAAGGTCAACACAGTTAAGTATTTTATGATCTCTGCCATCCCCCTCCTCCATTACTGCGAAATCAATGTATTTATAAATAATATACTGAAAGCATCACAAGTTTTATATGGCAGCTTTACTAATAATAGTTGGCAGTCCAAAATGTGAACTGAGTGATTAGTGACTAATGAGGAAGATAAAATTAGCTTATTGGCAGGCTGTGGCTTATCAGGAAGGATGAAGTGTTATTCACAGAGTTTTCAGAGTTTATAACGTTTATAGAATTCTATGAGAATCTTTCTGTACCCTTTCACTGTTTTTACACCTAGCTGCCACTCAATGCTAGGTTGGTAGGGAGGAGAGTTGGTATGCAGATAGCCAGACTGTTCCTGATTAAATGTGCAGCTGATGAGCCCACAGTGGTATAGCAGTGACTTTATGTACTCCTGGTCAGCTCTGAATCGCTAAAGGGCTGATTGCTATCTTCATTATTTTTGAGATTGGTATTTTATTCTCCACCTTTGTTTCTGCAGAAAACTTATCCAGATAGCCTATTGGCCAGAGGAAATTGTGGCTACAGGGTATTAGCACCCTCAACTACTGTACCCACATGTAAAAACCTATCCATCTCAGCTCTCATCTTAATCTTCTTCCTTGCTGTCTCAGAAAAAGAACTTGTAGTCCTGTTACAAGTCAGTCCCATTTTCTATCGTATCTTCAGGATTTTAACTCCACTCTTCTATCTCTCATCACTTGTATTGGGTCTTTCTCCTCTGCATAACCTGACCATTTTTCTGTTGAAAACAACCAAAAACAAATTCCTTAAAGCAACAGCCCTTACCAGTCTCCCTTCCAGCTACTACAGAATCTGATTCCTTTCAAATGATGCGTCTTTTTCTTGAGTCACTTCCCACTTCCACCTTCAAACCCAAGTAATTTGCTTTCATTCCATTTTCCATGGGAACTGCTCTGTCCACCAAGATCAACAATCTCTCCCCTTAGTTGATCTAAGCATTCTGATGTGTTCTTGAAAATTTTTAAGTACTTGAGATTCTAGTCTGTTCCTTTCCAGTCTTCTTTAGTGGCCCCTCAGTTTCCATTCACCTATTTACCCTTATCAAAGACCTGTCCTTGGTCCTCCTCGTGTTGTTTCCTGGTGGTCCCATTCACATCCAAAGCTCCTACTGTAACACATCCACTACTGACTCCCGCGTCTTCATCTCCAGCTTAGAATCTATATCCAATTGCTACTGTTCACCTTTACCTAACTGTGCCTATATATAGTCCAAACTCATCTCATACGAGCATAAAAGTGAATCTCTTTCCTCCCTAAACTGCTGTTCCTTCTGTATTTCCTGTTTTGGTTTTTAAAAAAGTATTATCTACCAAGCCATTCAACGCAGAAATCGGGATACAGTGGACCCTGCCCTTCTCCTGATTCTCCTCATCAAGTCAATGCCACTTGACATGGCATTTCTTTTATAGAACTTCCCCCATAGCCACAGTCCAGACCGCATTACCTCACATGACCTCCTTGCTTTTAGGCCAGTGGTTGTCAAAATATGGTTCCCTTACCAGTAGCCACAGCAATCACCTGGGAACTTAATTAGAAATTCAAATTCTTGGGCTGCCCTTGATTCAGAAACTCCAGGGTGGGGTCCAGTAACAAATTTATGTTGTAACAAATTCTCTAGGTAATTCTGAAGCTAAAGTTTGAGAACCACTATACTAGTCTACTCCCCACTATCCCTTCCCCATACTCTTAACATAGCCATCTTGCACACACACTGTCTTCCCCCCCCACACACACACCATCCCCCTCAACAAAAACCTAACAAATCTGGTCGTGTTTCTGCTTTACTTGGGAGCCTTTGGTGACATTTTTTACTAGAAGGTAAAGTCTAAATTTCTTAGTACGGTATAAAAAGCCTATCAGGATCTAGTTCCTGCCTACCAACTTCAGACGGTAAAGCACAGCCAATCATTTCAGTAAGAATGCATTGTCCTGTAGCGGTTAAGGATATGAGTTGTGGAATACTACTGTCTGGGCTTGCAACCTCTACTTGACCACTTTACAACTGGAACTGTGACCTTGGATAAGTTACTGAATCTCACTATGCCTCAATTCCATCATCTGTAAAATGAGAATGATGACGTCCATATCAGGAGGTTGTTGTGAAATTACCACAATACCTGGCACTTAGCCTGGACTCAGTGATTGTAAACTATTATTGCTTTATTTTAAAAGGAGGCCCACTTTTCTGGGAAGTTTCAGTTAGACTAGATGTCAATAAAAACACCCAGACTCTCAAGAGCGGTTCTGAGGTCTTTGGTTAGAGTAGGATGGACCTCTAGTCAGATTCTAGGACGTTATAACAAGAGAAGAGGCAAGCTCCTAATGTGGGCCAGAAATGCTAACCATGAAGGAAACAGGAAAACTCAAAGACAGAGCAAAACAGCAAAGACGGTGAATAATTTCATATTTGTTTCTCTGATAAGTTAATAAAATTAAAGTTGCCCACTGATTAAATATGAGAGTCCTAGTGTGATGAAGCCTTAAGTAATGATGGGAATCAAATTCTAATCTCCACCACAAATTAGCTATGATCTTGGGCAAATTATTTCTTCTTTCCTGTCTCAATTTCATAATCTGTAATATGGGGCTATAAAGTGATTATTACATATATGTTTATGTGTTTATTGCTTAGTACAGTGTCTAATATGTGGGAAGTATTCAATACATGGCAGCTATTGAAAGTATATTATCTTTTCATACAAATCATATATAAAAATAGGCACCTCTGGAGATTCCTGTTTGACCAAAGCAATTGTGTATCATTTAATATTTCAACTAATATTTGGTTATAACTCATATAACTGGGGAATATTGTAAAGATGGATCCAAATACAGTCATATCTATAGTGTTTACATCATTTAGGGATTACTGATTTTCACTTCAAATATATGTGATATTCACTTTATTCAAATATTTACTTAGTATCTATTAGGTACTAGCAAGACATTAGTCTGGGGGCGGGGGAAGGTTGGACTACCAAGATAAATAAGGCATGGTTCCTGTCCTCAAAGAGAATATAGGCTTAAGGAGAGAAAGGCACAATCCTAATAAGACTCAATTAAATGCTGTGTAAGAGCAAAAAAAAAAAAATATATATACTGTACAGATTAAAAGTCTTTACCAAGTTGGCTAGTTTTGCAAAACTCTACTTTTCATCTTTTCTATCTTCCTCTGAATTAGTCTCAATCCATTTTTACTTAACTCCATCTTTAGTTACAGCAGGGAGTCAATGTCTGTAAAAACTGGTAACTGAATGCCACCCATGATAACAGAAGGTAGCAGTCATTTGTTTTGTTTCTCTGCTATACTCAGTGCATAGCAGAAAGTGGAGCATCTTGTTCTCTTGGCCCTACAGAGTGGCTCCTTCTTTTGATTTGGCTGTTCAGATGTTACCTAGTCAGAGAGCCGTTCTCTGAGCACCAATCTGAAGTTTTTCTTCTCCCACCCCCTTAATCTCTAGCACATCTGTGATGTGTCACCCTGATACCCCTTAAGAATGAAAGGCATTTCCCAGATCCTGGGAGTGCTGAGAGAGCCCTGAGTGGTCAGTCCCTTTCCAAGATTTACTAGGCTGAAGAAAACTGAAGTTATGCTCTCTTTCCAGGGCAATGGGAATCCAATCAATGCACGGGTGTACAGGCTTGGGACAACTTTGAAGGGCCAACCCAGCACCAGAGTCCCCTTGAGATTGGTGGAGGCCTTCCTTGGGACTGCACTGAAGCTCAACTTTTTCTACCCATCCAATCCTGCTTCCTTTCTTCCTTGGTAATGATCCAAAAGTCTTCCCTAATAAATGCCCTGCCCTCAAATCTCCTCAGAGTCTGCTTCCTAGGTAACCCAACCCAGGAGAATCTTGAAATATCTTGTTCATTTATCAATGTACTTGTTTATTGTTTCTTTTTCCAACTCTAAAATATAAGTTCCTTGTGGTCAGGAACCATGCCTGCCCTTGGTCACTGCTGTATCTGCTAACTCAGTATGTATGTATGTATGTATGTATGTATGTGTATGTGTGTATGTGTATGTGTGTGTGTGTGTGTGTGTGTGTGTGTGTATAGTATGGATGAATTGACAATATTAATGAATGAATGAAATTGCCTGTATTGAGAGCCTCTGAAACAGCAACGGGGCTTGGGGCATTGTCTCCTCTAGGAGGCAGATGACAATGACCTCAGGAGGTCTCCATCTCAAAAGGATTTTGATCCCCACAACCTCCCAAGCGCTGTGAATCCTGCTTCTGCTTCTGCAGGGTTGGCGCTACCATGTTCGCTGTACAGCAGTTTTAACGTCCAGTTCCATGTCAGAGGGTGGACCCCACTTCCTAGATAGACACAAGCATACAGTGCCGTACCAGTGACAGAGGAGTGGCCAACGAGTCACAGGTTCCAGCTGGAAGGTGGCAGCGCGGGTGCAATCGTGTTTTCACTGGAACACCTTTGCTACCTACTTCACTACGTGGCAGTGCAGGTGAGAGTGACGAGGCTCTACACCTGGAACTCTGCCCACAATACTGGAACACGCGCTCACCACAAACATTCGTATCACCGGCAAGTATTTACAGCCTGTAGCTATCATCGAGTTTGGTCTTTAGCTTTCTAAGGAGCCAGCCTCCTCCTATCCCCGCCCCCAAATATCCTTCGGAGAGGACACCAGTGACCTTTCTGAGAGGGCGAGGAGGCACATACAAGCCCCCTGCCCCTCTCTTCGGCCGGGTAGAAAGCTGGCTTTTCCACCTGAGGCGCCAGCGCTCTCACCTGCCCAGCAGCCGCCGCGCCTCCCTAGGCCGCCGCCACCAGCGGGTCGCAGAGGCCGAGCCTCACGCAGCAACCATCGCCGATCCCAGCAACCCGCGCGCCGCGCTTGGAGACGGAGCATGCGCAGCTCTGCGACTAGCTTGGGTCCGCTCTCCGGGTTTTAGCGAAGTTCTCGGCCAAGAAAGCAGTGGCCGTGGCTGGAAAAAAATAAGGGCGGAGTTTATTCAGCAGCAACCTTAGCAAATTGTTGAAATTTAAATAACATATCAAATGGACTTGTTAGGGCACAGTATCTTCCTTATGGCGTGTGCTTAAGAGGCACTTACTGAATGAATGAAAAAGTGGTTAACCGTTCTCCGCGGCTCCCAGGCCTTCCAGATTCGACCAATCACAAAGCGCCCGATTCTACCGTAAATCGTCAATTCCTGGCCTTCTTTTACGGCTGCTTGGAAAACCAGGAGAAAAGCAATAATTCCTTATTTCTCTGGATCGGGTTGGAAAGCGGGCATGCGCAGTGCGAGCTGATTGTAAGCTGCTTCTGCCGCCAGTCCTTCGAAAGGGGGTTTTCGGGGAAGGTCGATAAGTCCCGGTTTTTTTAAAAGACAAAACTTGTATTCTCCTGTATCATTCAAAAGAATTACTGAGTAAATTATATTTATGGCTATTTTTAAAAGTTCATCCGGCATTGTGAAAGCCACCTTTACTTTCAAACTTGTCTAGTTGATCATCTTCCCCATCGAAGACTCCGAAGAATCTTTCCATCCTTGAGCTAGTAATTTTCCGGTGTCAAGAAGCACTCGGTGGTACCACAGAAATGTTGCTTTTGCTTTTTCTTTCTCTCAGTCACCTCCGCTGTCAATTACTGGGGTAACGGTGATTTCATCAACTGCCAATCATAGTCACCGCGTTCGCGGGCTCTAAGCCAGTCTCTGCCGCCAGTTTTGTTTTGATCTCGAAAGCCGCGAGATCACGAACCGAGCCATTTTTCTTTTGGGCGGTTTCCTCGCGTCACCCAGGACCCTCCACGACTGCTTCGCCGCCATCTTAAGTCCTGGTTGTGGCTTCAAGCCGATAGCGAGGCTGGTTAGATCCTCTCGTATTTGGGCGGCGGCAACGTTCCCCGGCGCGTGGGGGAGACTCTGGGAAGGTGGAAGTAAGCTCCAAGCACGAATCTGCACAGCTGCTGAAGGTGGGCTTGAGAGCCTGCTGCCTTTTTAGTCTGAGTTTCCACAACCAGGTACTACTTCACGAGTGACCCTCGACAGTAACAAAATCAATAAAAGCCCGAACCCAAACCCTCCCACCGTCATAGGTAAGAACATGGAATTCCTGACAACCTAAGATGTTCCGTCACTTGAACTGATCTGTTTGCCCGTCTCTCCTATGGTTTTTTTTTCCTTTGATTTTTGAGCATTTTCTGAATTCTCCCTGTGCTTCTACCTCTCTTCATTGTTTTCAAAGAGCTAAGAAGCGGTTAAGCATAAGGGTGTGGGAAGTCTAGACTTGAACGTTCGAAGTACTGTTTTGCAAAAACATTTTGAGGACAGTGGAGTACAGTTAAATGGGTCAGTTATTTGTATCTAACATCCATATGTACAAAGATAGCTCCTTTCCCAAACGTTTTTGTGTTGTAACAAATACAGGTTGTGTTTGTATGTACTTCTCATTCATTCATTTATTCAATACATATATTGAGTACCTAATGTGTACCAGGCCATAAGGATGCTGTAGTAAATAAAAAAAACAAAACCCAAAACACTTTCTCCTATGGCGTTTACATTCTAACCATCACTTTGATTAGATTGGGACAAGTAATAAACAGTACAGAAGTACTTCCGAGATATTGTGGGTTCTGTTCCAGACCACCACAAAAAAGTGAGTCTCTATAAAATCGGTAGTAGTCTTTTTGCTGGTGGAGAGTCTTGCCTTCCATTTGTTAAAAAAAAAAAAAAAAAGAAAAACAACAATGCAACACCTGTGAAGTGCAGTAAAACGAGATATGCCTGTATTCTGTGGTTCTTAGCACTGCTAGACTATAAAGTATTCAAGTGTTTGCTTGCTCCTTCCCCCTAACCCTCGTCCCCTGCCACTTTTTTCTCCTGCACCAGGAATAAATCGTATTGGCATTTATTACTTGGATCTTAGACATAACCATATTTGTAGGCCAGTTGGCTAATTTTACAACCAATACTCAAATCGGCGGGGTCCTGCTGCTGTTCCAAGTGTGGTCTACTGAGCAGCAAGCAGCAGCAATATCACCTGGGAGCTTGTTAGAACCTCAGCCTCAGACCCCTTCCCAAGACCCACTGAATCAGAATCTTCCCTAAGAAATGCACCCTAAAGTGCAAGGAGCACTCATTCAGGGCATGGACTAAAAATAAAGATGGTCTCTTTTCAACCTGTGCTGCTTAAACAGTTCACAGTATAGTCTGTTTATTCCATGTGTTTAAATGCAGTGGACATATGACATGTTTTTCTGTGCTGTTAGCCCATCAACCTGATGTTAGGATGCCAATTTACCATTCTAAAAAGTTGAAGAGAATTTGTCAGTCTGGTATATTATGTAACTTCTGTTACGGCAACACCTGTATGCATATATTTTCTGTGTGCACATTTTCACTTTTAGTTTATTAAATGTTGAACCCAAAAGCCTGCATGTGTTCAACAGTTCAGTATTGATCCTAGGAAACCTTGGGCCATGGCTTAATAGAGCTTTTTGTGGCACCTTGCTTTCTTCTGTCTTCCTTTAATGAGAAATCTAAATCTAATTTATCTCAGGGGTTCTCAATCTCAGGGGTTGCTTCTCATGAAAATCACCCTGGGGAGCTTTTAAAAAAACACTCCAGACCAACATCAGCAGAGGTTGAAACCTGTGGATGGAATTAAGAAACCAGTAAGGCGTTTGAGAAACAGCAAATGACTTACATTTTCCACGTTGCTGTATATTAGATTTTTCTTTCCCTGATGGTTTTACTTAAAATAATTAGGAATTTAAAGGCAATGGACAGAATTGGACTGGGAATGTGGTGAACCAGCTTCCTAGTAACCAATTAACTTGCCATCTATTGTTCTATGTCCTAAGCAAGTTGTCCAGCCTTTCTGTCTGTCCTTTCTCCATCTATTAATTGGGAAAAGAAGAATGAAGACCCTGTTGTTTTTTATCTAGCCTCTTGTGAATGTTGCAAAATGTAATGAATACATATGTTCTATGAATATGAAGAAGAAAAGTATTTTATAAGTGCAATATTCATTGTTTCTGATTTTCACCTACTGATTTCACTTGCAGGCTTCAGAAGTAGGCTTCACTTTATTGCACTTCACAGGTATAGTGTTTTTTTTTTTAACAAATGGAAGACAAGACCCTCCACCAACAAAAAGCTTATGACTTGCTTTATTGCAATACTTGCTTTATTACAGTGGTGTCTGGAGCTGAACGTGCAGTACCTCCAAAGTATGTCTTTACCAGGCTAGGAAGATGTATTTTTTTAAATATGATCTTTTCTTTTTAAACAGCTTTATTGAAGTATAATTGTCATACAATAAACTGCACATATTTAAAGTAAGTTTGATGCATTTTACATGTATACTCCAGTGAAACCATCACCACAATCAAGATAGCATATCATCTACCCCTCAATATTTTCTCTTGCTCCTTTGTAATTCTTCTGGCTGCTGTCTTCTGGGCAACCACTGATCTGCTTTCTTTCACTCTAGATAAGTTGGTATTTCCCAGGATTTTATCTAAATGGAATCTTACCCTATGAGCTTTTTTGTTTGTTTGTTTTTGGAGGGGGGAGTGTCTGGTTTCTTACAGGCATTTTAGAGCTATGTTTGTTTTTGCAAATATCAATAGATCATTCCTTTTCAATTGCTGAATAGTATTCCATGGTATGGATATATTGTGATTTATTTACACATTCACCAGTTGAAGGGCATTTGGATTGTTTTTATTTTCACTGTTTATTTCACATTGCTTTGTTCTCCAATTTATTTGAATTGGGAAAAAAAAAGTTTAATTACTTGGTAGCCACACCTTCTACATACAGTGAAACCAGGAGGTGACAGTGATAAAATGTGTTTGTATTGGGACTTTGCCTTTGCCACTGTGCAGTTTATGAGTTAATGTTTTCTGAATGTAACATGTTATCGCTTTTTTAAAATGCAAAATGTATGCATTGACTTTTTTTTTTTTTAAGATTTTTTTTATTGGGGAATTGTAGGGATGGGAACAGTGCTGGGGAATTGGGGGAAGGGGAACAGACAAGTTTTTTGTTCTTCAATCTACCATATTTGCCGGCGTATAAGACGACTGGGCGTATAAGACGACCCCCTAACATTTCCACTCAAAATACAGAGTTTGTTATATACTCGCCGTATAAGAC